TTCTATTCTATTCTATTCTTTTCAGGACAATTTTCAGTTTCATATCTTTTCAGTCACCTGAGAACAAGTTTGGCTCAGTGAGATGCGCAGCTGCCTTGAGACCAGTTGGTGCTGGTTCGAATCCTACCTGAGGTGCTTGCTGCACGTCTTCCATCCTTGAACTCTCAAGCAGCAGAGTTTAGCTTCTACACAGTGTTTTCAGCGGAGTTCTCCTGCTGTTTTCAGATTCCACTACACGGCATTCACACTGCATTTTCGCAGGAAATGCAACTTTTTCTAGTTTATTTTACTTTTAAGTTATTACAAATGGAACAACAGAACCGGGGGATAGGAAAGAGAAAGACAAGAGAAACTGTGAAAAAGAGAAGGAAAGAAAAACAGAGGGGAAGAGGAACAGAGAGAGGAGACACTAAAAATCCACTAGATCACCTGCTGGGAAAACCCTCTGAAAACATATATGTCCACAGTCTTGAATTCACAGGAATCAGCCTGAATGTCCCTGTACACTGCCCGACACGGTAAGAAAACTGTTTGATTCCACAGCTAGTTAAAGCCTCCACTATCCACAGTGCAGAAGCCTGACTGCTCCCCCTATGTGCAATTACAGTGTATTAAAAGAACAGTACATAAAAATGAAATCCCCACAATAATTCATATCAGACTTATTACTAAAAATACATTCTGTGAAATGTGAGTAAAGTAAGAGAAATTTACAGACCTTTATCTTACTCAATACTGTTGACCATAATGTTTTATTACAGTGATTAGAGCATGCTGTAGGTATTAAAGGTACTGCTCTCGTTAGTTACGGAGTTCTACAGGGTTCCGTTAGGCAGTATTATTAGAAAGCAAAGTATACATTTTCACTTTTATGCAGATGACACCCAACTTTATATACCGATGAAGCCAGATAACACACACTTATTAGTTAAACTGCAGGAATGTCTTAAAGATAAAGCGACCCGGATGACCTCGAATTTTCTGCTTCTAAATTCAGAGAAAATTAAGGTTATAAAAAAATCGTCAAAATATGGTCTCTAACCAGATGGCTACTCTGGATGACACTACCTTGGCCTCCAGTAACATTTTGAGGAATACTTTTTGAACAGGATATGTCCTTCAAAGCGTACATTAATGTAGAAGGACTGGACCCAGACACACAGTGTACGAAATGTTTCTTTTTATTTCTCGACACAGCAGTGTACTGTAAGGTTTGGCACACACGATTCTCACTGCAGGTGTCTCCTGGCGTTGCGCACACCTTCTAAAGCCTTTCCTCCTCTCATGAGTGTCACGACTCACTCGATAAATCTTTTAATAACACATAGTCGGGAGGTCTGCACGGCTTCAGGGCACACCACGTGACAATCAATTTCTATCACTTGGCTGAGCCTAGTATGTTATCACGAGACTGTTCCAGTGGAAAATCTCCCATAAAGTGAACCTCCCAAGCTAGCGGGACCTTCTAGTGAGGCTATTAATGGTTGTAATTGCATCCCTACATACTGCCACAACAGTTTATTAGACTGGCCAATTCATACCCAGAATTAGGGGGTGCGACAGGCACGAGCAAACCGCACCCTTAATCCTATGTGTTTTGTCCTTGTATTTTAATATCAGTGGCACAATAGGATACTTGTGAATATCACCATGAACACATCTCACTTCCATCCATTCTGCCTCCAACAATGCCCCACGGCGCAGCAACTGCAACCAGCTGCTCCAGGTCCCGCATCTGCTGGTCCAGCTATTCCCACAACTGCTCCATCTGCTTCTGTTGTGTGCCCGCCTGATCACGGCTCACGGTCGCCATCTCTCCCAGCATCTGGGCCAGGATTTGGAGTGGCTGCGCCTGTGGCGCGGCCTGAGGCTCGGACATACTCCGACTGGGTTTCGGCACCACTGTACAAGGACCGGACCCACACAAACAGTGTACGAAACGTTTCTTTTTATTTCTCGACACACAGCAGTGTACTTTTAAGGTTTGGCACACACACTTCTCACCACAGCTCTCTCCCAGCGTTGCGCACACCTTCTAAAGCCTTTCCTCCTCTCCACTCCAGCATCACTGACAACAGTAGAGAGCTCATCAGTGCCACATGACTACCTGTCCACTCACCTGCCTGGCACTGCCCCTTGAACTCACTGCGCCACCCCTCCCCTGCAGCTGAGCCAGGGACCACACCTCCACCACAATTAAACATACATGTAGGACTGTTTTCTTCTATTTACACAATATCTCCAAAATTAGAAACATCCTGTCTCAGAACGAAGCTGAAAAACTAGTTCATGCATGTATTACATTTAGGCTGGACTACTGCAATTCATTATTATCAGGGTGTCCGAAAAAACTTCAGACAGGAACTAGAAGGAGACAGCATATTTCTTCTGTACTGGCTTCCATTCATTGGCTTCATTGGCAAATCCAGAATCAAATTTAAAACCCTTTGCCTCACAAAGTCTTCTACAATCAGGGTGCATCTTATCTTAAAAACTTCATACTACCACACCACCCCAATGGAGCACTTTGCTCTAAGACTGTGGTTCTGAGGTTCTGCAGTTTTGTATACTGGTCCTCAAGAGGAATCACATTTATATGATGTTTGGTCAATGCTGGACAGATCTCAGCAGTGTTTTTTTCCCTCCAGCAAATGGATGTATCTTAACAGTCCTCGTCCCGATGCATTCTCAGCATACGTAGCTCATCCTCCAGGTAGGCAATCCTATTAATCAGAGCATCTTTCTCTGTCTGAGCCTTCTGATCTGCCTGCCATTGAGCCTCCTGCACCTTCCTCTCATACCAGCGCTCCATCTGAGTCGTGACCGTCTCAAAGAAATACTGGGTCACCTCAATGGCATGCATGTTGTCCCTCTCCTGAGTAAACGTAGGCTGGCCTCCAAAGACCTCTAGAGGCCTGACCTTTATGTCCCCTCTCAATTTAGTCCTACCCTGAAAATATTTCTTCTGGTGCTTCCCTGTAGCACAGTGTCCTTCCTTCTCTCTGATCCCTATGTCATTTCTGCTGCTGCAGCGCCGCTCCGTGGCTGGAGAGAAGCTGCTGGATCTTTGGCTCCTGGCCCCACTCCTCATTATGTCCACATCATTCAGCTCCTGGTTCTTCCTCTTGGTGTCAGCAGAGGTCACAGAGCGCTCCTTTGGCCGAACCACCTGAACAGATGATGGGGGGTTCTTGGCTGCTGCGGGAGAGTCATCCTC